CGAGACAAATAAATATAAATAAACATCATACCATATCCAACGAGAAACAGAATCGCTCAAGGGGTATATTCTGATGCGCACATCATAACCAGATATCGCCTTCTTCGCCATTCACCCATCTTTGCCAAACTCGTTCGTAGGCGTCCTCAAGATCACGAACCCAACGCTTCGTATCGAAAAGCCTGCTGGACCACCGCTCCTCGAACAGCATCCGGCGCAGGTCGGCTAATCTGCCCGTCGCATGACCTTGTCCACCAGGCTGGTACTTCAGACTGAGACACAGGCGAATGGCCTTATTCTCATAGTCTTCGTCCGACATGGCGATCAAGTCCGACTGAGCCTCGCGGCCTGCGTCAGACTTCGGCAGAGCACTGCTCAGAATGCTGCTTGCCATACGCGAGCACATTTTGTACTTGTACCGAGGCAGTGTCAAGAGGGGCGTGCCACTCCATAACACATCGGTCGCTGTCGTATGAGCATTGCATTCTGGCGTGTCGAGGAACAGATCCAGGATCTTTGCTCGCGAGATGTGCGTGTTCTTGGGTGCAACGTCGGTGAAGATGATCCGAGATGCTGTTTCCTCCCCAGCCCAGGCAACGGCTGTCTCACGGAGGTTCTGTTCACCGAGGTCGGGAAAGCGGAGGAGCCAGAGGACGGCATTAGGGATCCGTGCCAGGATGCGTAGCCAAGTGCGGAAAGTCGTGGGTTCAATCTGACAGAACTGTTAGTTTGGCCTGACCTGTCGTTCCCTGTGTTGCACTTACCTTGTACAACTGGTTGAAATTCCCAAGTATGATGGTGTCATCGCTGAGATTTGGAAACAGTTCCTTACGCATGCGCCACCGTCGGGCCTGCTCCTGATCCCAAGCCAGGCGAGGATCTTGAGCATCCGGAGCACTTTGCCGATGGTCACAGCAGAAGAAGGTGTCGCGAGTATAAACAATCTTCTCGCCGTACACCCAGTTCTCAAGATCCTCACCGTGATCTTCTTCGAGTAGCCGATCCTCCATCCGTATGTTGCGCCGTCCCGGGGAAAGGGTCTCGGGGGGAATAGAGAGCTCGTCCGCAAGGATGTAATCGCACCATTCCGCCCCAAGAGTCCCCGCAAAGCCCATGAAAGACATGTGGATTGGAGCGGGCCTAGCAGCAAAGACCTCATTCCGGGCACCACGGGTGTACCCATTCAGGTTGATGAGGATATGGATTCCGTCTTCCACAATTTGTCTGACGAGTCGATCGACGGGCCATCCACTAGCATCGTGAAATACCGGCGCTTCTTTCTCGATCTGTTGGCGATGGATCGACTTGTCGCTCACGGTCGTAGCGTAACAGTATGCTTTCACCCGAGAAGGATTGTGCAGTCCAAAGACGGACTGCATCAGATGGGCCAGCGGGTGGTTGTTGAAGTCTGATGACACGTACCCGACCTTGATGTAAGGGTGCGGTGGGGGAGGCGGAGGGAAAACAGTAGCAGGCAGCCACGGCGAACGCAAGGTGGAACAAGAGATACGAAGCCCATTCCGCTGCGAAATTTGCCGGATCTGCTTCGCTGACAGCGGGCAGGTGAAGGTATGGAAAGGCAGGACTGTCGGCGCATTTGGCGCCGTCAGGCCAGAGGGAAGCTGCGGTCGCCGATACTTGGTCAGAGGGTATTCTTTGCCATAGACGTACCGATCCTGATACCACTGCCAGGTAATCGACCTGATGGCACGCTCCACGATCCTGACAATCCTAGAGCCCTCCCACCGCTGGCCTGCCCACGCCTGCAGGATTTTAGCCAGAGTACCAAAAGTGACATGGCCGCGCGAACTGGCTGCGGGAGCCAGTTGCGCACACAACTGCTCAATCACATTGGGAGTCAGCAAACCACGACCCCACGCTTCCCCTTCTTTGAGTTGACGGTCGACAATCTCAACAACCCGTTTGATCCAGCCAGTCCCGGTTTCAATGGTGTATGCGTCGCGGATCATACCCTGTTCATCGACATGCCACCGGTCTCGGAACCCATAGCCGTTGCCAACGCCACCGCGGCCAACCCAGTTGCAGACAGAATTGAGAGCGTTGGCTAGGCCACACACTGCCTCAGCAAATTCCGGATTCACTTTGACGGCACGCTTGTAATAGACGATAGCATCGTTAACGCGACCGGCATCTTTGACTGCGTTCGCCAGGTTCGCCAGCGCAATGTCAAAATTACTATCGCAATGAACGGCCTGTTCATACATTCGGATAGCCGCTTGCAACTGGCCAATATCCTTGAGAAGGCTTCCGAGGTTTGTGTAAAGATGGGCATGTCGCGAATCGAGGTGTAGACCGTAGTTGTAATACGCGAGAGCTAACGATATTCCCGTGCCGGGAATCACACCGGGTATTTCAGGATGCTGCATCTCTCCGCTTGGACGTGGTAGAACTTTCTTGGGGGCGTTGTTTTGAATACCAGCCAGCAAGATACCCACATTATTTGCGGTGGATGGACTTGGCTGAAGAGAAAGAGAAAGATAATAGAGTGCTAGAATATCCCGAACGCCCGGAGCAGATCTTGGAACGCCGGAGCTGGAGATATTAGACATGCCGTCTTGGTATATCTTGGCCAGAGAGAGCAACGAGTTGCTGGTAGTAGATATAGCGGCCTTTCTTGCCAGACCTTCCGGCACATATTTGATCCCCGGGGGTGTTCCGCAGGGAGCAAAGACCAACTTTGCGGTCTGCAGAGCATGGTCTGGATACAGGAGAATGGTCTCCTGTTGCTCACGTTGCTCTGGGCCGGGGTAGCCGTGATGCGTACCCTGCATGAAGGCCGAGAATATCTGCTTGATCAGGCTTTGTATACCATGACGCCTCCTTCCAGCTGCAATCAGAATAGCATCCTCAAAGGCTACGGCAGCTGCAGCATTGTCACCTAGGGCATATAGCATATTTCCCTTTGCGTGGACGAGAGCCAGCATTCTGCCATTATCACAGCCAGGTATGGCGTAGCCGCTGGAACCAAATCCAGCCGAGCCAACATCTGCCGAGCCCCGATTTGTGGCAACTGACCGACCAAAGTCGTCATCGTAATCAAAGGACGCTTTCTCATAGGAACCCAAATCGGACGCACTCGACGCTCTGCTCTCCGCGTCGCTCTCAGGTTCACTCGCGTGTTTGTCGGACGCGAAACAGTCGCCGTTCTTAGGGGAGCGTATGGAATTCTGCACGAACTCAATGATGTTGACTGCTTCCTTGCCACGTTGGCTGCTGCACAAAAGACCGATCAGGTGCTCTACCGCCTCAAAGAAACTCGGGCGGAGCTTAACGGCACGAAGCCAATGTTGCAGGGCCTCATCTCGGCGATCCAGCGCCAGAAGGGTGGCCGCAAGATTGGATATCGCTTCCACATGCCTGTGCTTTGTTAGACAGCTCAGCTACTTACAGACAATCGTATACTCACGTTGCATCTCGAGCGATGATTCTAGTATACCAACGCATGGCCTTATGATAATCTCCAAGCCCATAAGCGAGACAGCCTCCAAGAAGCATCCCATCAATCCATTCCCAACCGCTCTCCGCGCAGAGATGGGATAACATCTCCAAAGATGAAACAGCATTCGCTGTTATAGAACCCTCGTTCAACGGTGCGGCACCGAAACGAGACGTTGCCGTGGATGCAGTAAACCGTCCAGTGTGGCGGAGCCTGTCGAGCATCTGTACATCGGTTGCAGCCTGCGGGAACTGAGACAGTGAAGCACGTTCATACCGACGGCCAGCCTGGAAGCTGGCAGTATCATTGTGGCCTATGTTGCCAATGGTGTTGTTCCTCTGAACAAGATCATACTGGCCCGAAGAGTAGTTATTGTGACGAGTCGATTCCAGCGTATTAGTGTTGGAAAAATCAAGACCAGGCTGACGCGGTGGTTTCGGGTATATACTCGGTTTCAGAAAACGCTGACTCTGTCCCTCAGCAGCCGCGGTCGAGATGCTATTCCGTCGTGCTTGGTGGATGGATGCCAGTAGGTCAACGTAAACACCATGAGCCCATGTCAGCACCTTCTCCTTGAACTCCACGTTCGTTGCCTGTGGGCTTGCCGTAGAGCCCAGTTGGACCCCTTGGGTATTTGGAGGACCTGACCATGACGGGCCTGTGTCGTGGACCTGCTGATGCGAAAAGCCAGGGGTAGGATTAGACTGGCGCGTATGGTACGGCAGTGTCCGCTGGCCGCCCGGCAGACCAGCGACTTTCTGCTCCGAATGACGCCGAGGAAAGTTATTCTTCATGGACAACTCAGAGTTGACCATTCCAGCAGGGGCCTGATTCCACGCCAGGCCCGGGTCGGGATGACTGCCTGAAGATAAAGCGCCCCGACTGAAGGGCTGTTGGCCTGCGTCGAATAATTGAAGGGCGGGTGGGTTTGTCGCCTTTGCAAAAGGAGTGGGCGAGTCGAATCGGGCATCCCGAAACGCCGCTGGGCGATACGGGATATACACTCCATCGGGCCAATATGGACCATATGGTCCCGTTCCTGCCGACGCGGTAGGACCGACACAGGGCTGGAGTGTCGCTGGTAGAACTGTAGGAACATAGGCACCATTGTGCCAGTAGAATCGCTGCTGGGAAGGCTGCATTGGTAGCGACTGATTCAGCATGGAGTCCATTCCTGGAACATAGTTCAATGAACGAACCCAACTGGTGCCATTCATTCCTTGGGTCAACTCTGCTGGACCTGCATTAGTTCGGCTCGAATCATTTCGATATACGGGCGGGAAATTCATGTGCTTCCCGGCTGAAGACTGATCCAAATTGGCCTGTTGCCATGTCTCCACTGGGAACCCTGTATGGGAGGGTATCAGGTGGCCCGAATCGATCGGCGAGACCAAGAGGTGCTTGCTCGCGGGCTGAATGGTGGTATCCCCTGGTGTGCCATCATACCCAGCCGCCAGTGTCCCGTTCGGTGTTTTCCTTCGTAATGCATGCTCGCCAGCACTCTTCGGGCTAGGTACCAGACCCGTGGCATCAGGTACCTCGAGGCGTTGAATAGGATGCGGATATTGCAGCCGAGATCGAGCTACGGACGGGAACGAGTCTTTGCCGAAATCGCTGCGGGGTAGTGACGTGAGAAATGATGTGTTGCGGTCGTAAGGTCCGTTTGTAGCGTCGGCACCGTGCCGATAACTAAGGTGGTGCGGCTGGACTGGCGGGAACGGTGCTACTGAGGGCAACATCTTGACCTCAAAGCAGTATTGGCACCGCCTTCTTCCGCCGGGATTATAGATATATATGCAAGATCAAGGTTGAAAGTCGGAGAAAGAGAGGAGAAAAGAAAGAAAGAGCGAGTTTGAGAGAGAGAGAGAGGGAGGGAGGGAGAGACCGCGACGGAGACGTATAGAGACTCGGGTTATCAAGAATAGGGAAAAGCAATGCAGGGATCTCGTCGAGGCGGTTCGGGGCGATCGAAATCAGACAGTGATGGTCGACGGGGTTATCACTCTCGATAAATTATCAACAAGCATCCTCCTTGAAACGTTTCCTACACCTCATCCTGGGCATGAGCCGGCTCAGTTGACACTCAGCGAAGGCGCCCACCGCTTGACCCTGGGCTCGACATGAACGCTGATTGTGGCCGGCAATGACAGAAGACGCAAGTGCGGGCGCGGCGAAAGTGATGGAGGAGGAAGAAGAAGAGGAGGAAGAGGAAAGGGAACCGAATGGAGAGGCTGAGTCCGGGGCGAAGATACCATTCACGAAGCCGCTGGATTCCAGAAGATCAGAAAGACACGCAGGCGATCCGCACCGACAACGCTATTTGCTGCGTGAGAGACAGGTGGGTGAAGAAACGATGCAAGGGAGGGAAAGGGATCGATGAGAGAGAATCACAGCCCTAGTCAGCTTGCTAGAGCGCCCACACTGACGCAGGTGTCCGCACGACGCGATCAACCACTAGGCAATCCTGCGCTTGGCAGAAATGCTGTACTTTGGGGTGGGTGGGTGGGTGTGGGTTGCGAAGGAGGGGGTCAAAGGGAAAAGGGAAAAAGAGAGTGACCGGCAGGTAGGCTGACCGAACAAACGGGTGTTTAGTTGAAGGATGGATAATGGCTAACGCAAGTGTGGTAGGGAAAGAATAGGAAGAATTGCAAGATGAATAGAGAGGAGGATTAAAGAGGCCGAGGACCCAGATCTGCCCCGATGTCACGACCGACGAAATCCGAATCAGGGAAACGATAGCGTAGGGGAAAGGTTGAACATGGCACCACTAGCTGATGGCAATCACAACAACTTAGTGTGTCCTCCTGTCTTTTGATATGAGAAAGGAAAAAAAAAAAATTAAATGATTTTTGTTTTTGTTTTTCTTTTCTTTTCTTTTCTTTTTTCTTCTGTTCGTGTCTTATTATTCTTGTCTTTTTGACGATCTCTTTTTTTTTTCCCTCACAGGTTGGGGAGGAGCTGATTGGACCGAAGTACTATTCCAAACGGCGATGCCTCAGATCCAAGGCACCACAGGGCTGGCTGTTCGAAGCGGAGAAGATCCAACGGCGGGCGGAGAGGTCAACAATCAATAGGGGACAAATATGAGGAACAGGCGCAAGGAATTGCTGATGATTCCCCGAAGAGACCAAAAAGAAAACACAGTTGAGTCCGGGGTAGGACTGGCCAAGACCGTGAAGAAAGAAAAGAGAGAAAAAAGAGGTATGCGACCAACGGGAGGAAATTAAAGGAAACGGATCATAAAATTCGATAGGGAATTCCGATTGAAGTGGAAGAGGATGGAATTGAAGCTTAGGAGGGGGGAAAATATTAAAAAAAATAAGAAAAAATTAAAAATTAAAATCAAAAGGCCAACTACTTACTTACTTTCACAGAAGATATCCATACGGGCAGTGAGCTACTACTAACTAACTCACTAATGTAGCAGACAAAGAGTCATCGACGAGCCAAAGTCTCCATCAAGCGGGACGCGCATCATGACAGAGCGGAGCTTCCTAAACGCAAGCAGTGGGCGGCGGCAGCCTATAGCTCCCGTTTTGTTCTAGGGTGGTTCCTTTTTTGGGGTGGGGGGAGGGCAACCTGAGTGGGTTCTGAGGATGGACCAGCGGGAGTGGAGCCAATAGGCGCTGGCCTGGACCAGGGTGGAGTGGGGAGGAGGTTACTGAGTTGGGACGCGGGTGGGTTTGGGCGTCCAGGTTGATTACTTGGTGGTGGCTTGGGACCAAATGAGAAGAGAGGAAGGGGGGGAGGGGAAAGGAAAATGAACAGCAGAAAAATCAAAATTCGAAAGAGAAAAAGGGAAAATATATCATGAAGTAATAAGGATGGACAAAAGAAAAATGAAAAAGGTACATGCATTTACGTATGAACGCCATACTGTGTGCAATTTGGTTACTCTGAACGGATAACTACGGAGTACTTAACAGTAATATCTTATTGATGTTCCCCTCTGTAGGTACAGTAACTAAATCAGTGCGGAAAATTTGGTACTAGATGGCACAAAGGTATAACACGCGGTGGCTTGGATGGTTGTGGTGCCTCAAAACGCAGATTATGCGACCGATCCAAGGGAGCAAGCAAATTCTCAGAATCCTCAACCCTCAATAATCTTTCTTCCTTTTTCTCAACCCCCACCTAGAAACCGCGAAACAAGGGAAACACGAACATCCATCACATTTCAGTCCCACCCGAGGATACTACGATCCAACGGCCAGGATGGACCGGCGCTAGCCACTTGGGCGCAGGCAGCGAATCCAGGCCTGTCTAACGTCAGTGGACCAGCAGCCATGGCCCCCCCGGTCGCGAGTGGCGCCCGCAGTGGTCAAGCCTTGGGGCCTTGGGGGCCTCTTGGAAGTTGGAGTTTGGGAGGGTTTGTTTGGTGAGTGCGGAAGGGCGATCTGGCACCTTCGGTGGGTTCGAGTGGAGTCCGTCAAGGAATGGCCTGCGAGCTGGCCTTGGATGGGTGGAATGAAATTAGAAAAAAAGGTGGGTTTCATAATTTTGAGATTAAATAAAATCAATCAATATTGTGAATATCTTATAAGTATCATATTACTTTGTATATCCGGATTATATATAGTATATAAAGGATGGGTTTTATTGATATGTATATCGATATTGATTTCGTAACCCAATTTACTTGAGCAGTGCCGATTAATATGTTGGGATATTATCTGAAGAAGACTTGTCTACTAGTCAAATAGGAGAATTTCGCAAGGAAAGAAGCAAGATTGAATTAGCAGAATCCTTCATGTACTAGTAAGTAGCTAATTAGTATATTATGCGTATACATCGCCGCGAGGCTGAGACACCTGGCCACAAGCCCAAGGCCAGCATCATTCTGCAGCCCTGGAGGCATCCAGAGGCTGAAAAGAAAATCCCAACTAAGACACATGCCGCGTCCGATCAGGTGGAAAAGATGGCCGAATCATTGCCACTGGATAAATATCTCAGGTATGTCAATAATGTATAATAAGTATGCACTATGTTGTACAGAGCGCGGTGTCGTTATAAAAGAGATGACTGTCGATGGGATTCTGATAGGTTGCCTTCTCTCTTGTGACAGCAACTGCTGAGCGTTTTCTGTCGCTTTGATCCATCCGTGCCTAAATGTTGATATCAGCCAATCCATATCCCCCCTACACACCATATATCAAAGATTATCGTAGATTTGATTTGAAGGTGTCAAAGTATCATTCATTCATCAGGCCTCCCTTTTCCCCCCTTCTGTAACCAACAACAATGACAACAACAACAACAACAACAACACATCAACATGATGCATTATACTTTAAAATTCCCACCCCTCTCCCATTTCCCCCCAAATTTATTTTCCCCCGGTGTAACTCAAAATCTAGGTCTCGGGAATGGAGGAGGGATCCATGAAACCTACCTTAGTTTCAACCCTCCCGGTTTCCTGTATCCCCATCCACTTAGACAGGGCGATTCCAGCCATCGTCTTTGACCACAGATCTAAGTGTTACCGGCATTCCAAGTTTTTCTCCCTCCTCCATTTCCACCGTCCGGTCATCTCCGTCGTCCAGATACAGTGTAATAGAAAACAATGTAAAGGCAGAAACTTTTTTAGTAGGGACGGGGATCAACGAGGGGCAGCGGGACCGGGGCCGCCCTGGAAATCAAAAATGGAATAAAATAAATAGAATAATAAAAGAAGAGTAGGCTGTGATAATCCATGGGCCTTGTCACGAGCGGTCTGGCGATGAGGATCGACAAACTTTGCTGCGCTGTGGCTCTTCCTGCCTCTCCACTCCGGTAGGCGCTTAGAGGAGGGGGTCCTGTCTGAGAGGAGGGTTGTACAGTAAATACACTTAGTAGACCAACTAGCTGAGAGGGAGGAGAGGAAAGAAAAAGAGGGGAGGGAGAATTGAGATGGCGAAAGTCAAATTCATTAATCTTCTCCTTGTGGCCGTTGATTTAATGATTAACTAAATATCTTTCGCTATAGTTAGTTTGGTATCTCGGTTAGTTGCTAGTTGGATAGTTAGCATACATAGCAAATTCATCCGTATGGAGGCGGAATCGAACACATCCACCCCGTCTGCACCCATCCTCCCGCCATGTTTCACTTCCCAAAAGGACAGCATTTCACTTCATTCCATCATGCTGAGCTGGCCAGAAGAAAAGAGATTCTGATGATCACGGCCTGAACTTGACTGCCTGCCTGGCTGACTCAGCCGACTCTCTCTCAAGTTGTGAGTCACGAGAAAGATAACTTCCATTCCATCAACTCACTAAAGTGGGATAGATGCAGTCTTATGCATGTCGGTGCGCCTGTCTGTGCCTATCACAACAACAACTTGCATTCTGAGTCGCAGCCATAGCCCTTCCGATGGAGACACTTGCGGGCTTTGCTGGATTGGAGAGATCCATCCATTACTCTCCCCAACCATGTAGCCATCCATAGCCTGCCTCTTTTTCCATTATTATTCAGTCGGTCATTCATTTCCCTTTCTGCCTACGGACGGAGTACCGCTACCCGGGATTTGTGTTCGTTAAGGGGGGGCCCCAGGCGGCACCTGCAGCTCGGGGCGCGTATCAGGAACGCCGCCAATTGAACCATCCCAGTAGTTATTAGTAGTAGTACTTAAGTCCCCGGTGGGTGGGGAAAGCTCATGGAATCTTCGGGCTCTCGGTGTGTCCGGGCGCGGCCCCATCCGATTCCAGCCTACGCAGTATGTATCTATTTGGCGACTGTCGATGCTCACCATCACTAGAATCTCCGTCCTGGTGTATGGTTTGCATGGAGTGGACTACGGGATGGGGCGTTAGTCTCCATCTTCAGGCGCGAGACGGCAATAGTGATGGTTAGTATACGCATGGGACATGCCGATCGTTCAGGCGGTAGTAGTCAAGACTCGATTTCTTCAGAAAGACCGCGGGCTGATCGCTTTACCGAGGCATAGCTAGACAAAAAGTTGAAAAGGATGGAAAAGAGTAAATTTCATTGCTTGAATTGATTCAATTGTCTACGATCATCAGACATGTTCACATGCCTGGGGCTAAGATTGTGATTTTGACCGTTAAATGGACCACTGTATCCACAGAAAGAAGCACGAAGCTCCCCTCGAAGATACCGCGGTGAGTAGCAGGTCGGTTTGCTCTTCTTTGCTTAAAATAAGCCTATACCACGTTGTGATATGACAATTCCAGGCCCGAAGGCGGGAAAAGACGGTAAGGGCCAGAGTGTTGCAAAGGTCGTCTGGGTGGGGACTCATTATGATCCAGCTTGCATAGAAGGCAAGTAAACCATATGTGAGACGGGAAAAGAGAGAAGGGGAGTCTCAACGAGGACGTCGAGTGAAAACACTTATCGAATTCGAAAGAACAGAAATGGGGAATCTAAAGTCATGTCTCATAAAACATTTTTGTTTCGAATAAGATGATCATATTCCGTAACTAGCATGCCGGTAAAAAACCACGACCGCCGCGAATTTGAATCATTTACTCGGAGGGGACTGCGAGATAGTTAGTGGCAAAGTCTCGAAAGATATCGTATGGTGGTTAACATACTGTCGATCTCGCCAGCCTTGACGTCGTCGGAGACGTCCTTGGGGCTGCGGCCATCGACCTGGCAACCGACGGAGAAAGCGGTACCGAGGATCTCAAGGACGGTACCCTTGAGCTCCTTAGCAAGAGAGCGGTGGCGCATCTTGCGGGCGATCTCGATGATCTCGTCCAGAGGGATGGACTTGCTGTGCTTGATGTTCTTCTCCTTCTTGCGGTCACGGGGAGGCTCCTTGAGGGCCTTGATGACCAGGGAAGAGGCGGAGGGCACAACGGAGACCGCGGCCTGACGGTTCTGGATGGTCAGGCGGACGGTGACACGGAGACCCTTCTATAATACCAAAAAGATGCTGTTAGCACTGTAACCTCCTATGGTTGACCCGGACGATGTGCTTACCCAGTCACCAGTGTTCTTGGCAATATCTTCACCGATCTTCTTGGGGGACAGACCGAGAGGACCAATCTTGGGGGCCAGAGCAGACTGGGCACCGACCTCACCACCAGTCACTCTCAGGTGGCTATAAAAAATCGTTAGCAGCTGCGTCAAAGATTGCGCCGAGTGATCTTCAGAATATGCAACTTACATGATCTTCACCTCATTGGGGTCGAACTTGGGAGCTGCCCAATGGGATACATATTAGTTCGCCTATTCGATTTCACCAAGGAGATGATACTTACGCATGGCGAGTGCGAAAGGTCGTCAATCGTCCTTGGAAGGTGTCGGGGTGGATAGTACAAAGAAGGAAAGAAAACAGCCGTCGAGGCCGGAAGGATATTTAGCTGCCGTTGCGCCTGAGCTAAGCGAGACCCAGAAGCGGTAAGTCTCGTAGGGCTCAACCCAATGTCTGTCACGTGACCATATTGGGACTATGAGCTGTCTTCCCGAAACGGTAACTACTACTATCTAAGTACATAGTCCTACTTAGTACTGTGAAAGATAATGGTAACTGATCCACTCCATGATCCACTCATATTACGAAATTTGTTTGTATTCAATTGGTGAATCTAGGTAGTTGCTATATTCCAGGGTAACGAACAAAAATCAATAACCGCTAAAGATACAAACGACCCGAGGACTGGCGCAAACCGCCCCTTGCTCTCGTCATGGCCATTACCTCGTCAAATCTAGCTGGTTCCGGAAACAGCAAGCCTAAAGCACCGGGTTAGCAACGGATTAAATCTTTGTGTTGATCAAGGAAGGACTTACTTCATGAGATGGTCCATAAAAGTCTGCAACGAGACATCATCAGTGAAGATGGTCTGCGACGTCACACCTCCGCCGTATCCTCCTGTTGTGTGGGTAGTAGATGGGTTCAGCTTAGACAAAAGGAAACGAGCCTGGGAGCCACCAGCATCGCAAACGATGAAACGGGGCAGCGGGAAACGATCGGAAATCAGTTCCTGTGTACCTAGTTAGCCTGTATCCCGGCAAAATTGATATGGTATAAAACTAACCCTAGCGTCTTCCTTTGGTTGCTCGAGGAGCACCTTCAGGTTCTCGTAGCCCTCCTGATCCTGGTAACCAGCCTTCCTCCATTCCGCGATAGTCTCACCGTGGAAAATCAGGATGTGGAAGAAAGTGTCCAGAAGAAGGATGTGAGCGGGCTGGATAGAAGCCGAATCCAAGAGCACAGGTTGGCTTCCTTCGTGTTCAAGGGAGTAGGAATCCAGAGTTGGCTGAATCATAACAAGAGAGTCGCCAACATCTTCGTGGTTGAGCACATGCCGGTAGAAAGCAGTCTCGTCAGGCGAGTTGTTGAACACCTGCAAGAACTGGCTTCGGCGCAGGTGGAACATGAACTGAGGGTAGAGGGTGAAGTTCTTCTCCAACCGGAATGACGTAGGGTCATCTTTCCGGTAGTCGGCGAAACGAGAGCAAAGTCTGATGAGCATCCGGTCAACCCATCTGAGCACATCGGGGCCATCGTCCACCTCGGCCTTGAACACGGCGATGCGGGCCATCAACACGGCAGCTGCTTCCTGATCGAAAGACTGCGCCAGCGTAGGGTCGCCCGCAGGACCGCTGAGGGGCCGCGCGACCGTTGTGACCCGAAGGTGGTAGTGACCCGACGAGTGCTGGTAGTATGTGAGAAATTGCATCATTCCCCTTTGAGGGCCTGGCTGCACTGCTGCAGGGCCACCCTGGTTTGCTATTTCGAAGTAGACGCCGTAGCTCGAGGCAGGGTCGATACCACACATCTTCCATGCGCAAGTGTTGCCGATACCGCATTCCGTTTCGCCGACAGAGCTCGACTTCTTGTTCAGGGAAACGGCGTGACCAATAAGGCCGGTGACCTTCAGCTCCTTGGTAGTCAGAACCTCAAGAGATGCATTGAAGCCCATGAGTAGGTTATCGTTAGCATCCTTGTCGAATATCCTGACGAACGACTGCTTAAATTGTGAGGAGGTGAAGCTGTCTGTGAGAAGGATATGTCCGCCGGTGTAGTTGGCAAGGTTCTTCATCTCCAGCATACCGACCTGATCGAGACAGCCGGCAAAGACATCAACAATATGTCCGTTGTTGGCAGCACGCTTAGCCATGTTGTCATAGAACTGGAAACGTCATTAGTACCGTGAAAGCACACAAGGCAAGTCGGATCAGCACGCACCTTGACAGCCTTCTTGTAATATTTGATGTTATCGCGGTCAATATCGTGGTGTGAACGGATGGGCTCCTTCAGCTCAGGTCCGACGACGTGGCCGGGACCCTCAGTGGCCGGACCACTGGTGAAAACCATGATGCGGCCACCAGCATTCTGGAAAGAGGTCTCGAGTAGACCCACGGCGACGCTGAGAGCAACACCAGTGCATCTGAGAGGTCGCTTGTCGTTCGCAACAGGCCACGGGTCACGCTGAAGCTGTTCGAGCACGTTCGTGATCTGGAACTCGGCCTGCTGAACGGGAAGGAGGAACCGCGCCGCAGGGCCAAGCGGGGGACGCGCGGGTTGCTGGGGCATGTTCGGACGGAGTCCGGAAGCAAGACCAAGCATCTCCTGGACCTGCTTCGCGGCGTATTCCTTGCTGCCGCGGAACACATAGGACTTGGCGCACTCAGTGTAGCCGAGTTCATGTACTTGTGCCTGTATTCCAGTCAACAATGCATCCTGACATGAACCAAATGTAGATGGATGGTTTATGTCCCTACCATTGTACCGTATGTGATCAGACCAACCAACGCGTTCACAGGCAGCAACGACAGACTCATGATCAGAGAGTCCTTCAAGGCCTTCAGGCTGTCATCGTCCTGGCAGGTATCGACAACATAGACGAAGATAGGGGGAGCAGGGGCGGGGCGTGCCAATTGGTACTCGATTGTCGTGCTCATCGGGTGAAGCTCTGGGGGTATCGTGCTCTCCGTGATATCCTTGTAGTGAGGGGGCAGGGGGTTGCGCATAAGGCAGAAGGGGCATATCCAGATGCGGGCCCGAACGTCAACGTTGCTATGCGATGTCAGCCAAGTCGTTCATATAGCCATGCCTGCTAGCAGTTGAGAGGAAGCCATACGCATAAGGATTCAGCACCGCCCGACAAGGCGCCTTGCAAGTGACGGGCTCATATTGTAGCAACGGAGAGTCTGGCTTCTCCTTGAGGGGTGTGTAGACGGCACCGATGGGGACAACAAGGCGGGATGCTTCCTGTCGAAGCATATGTTAGCAGAAATAGGGAAGAGGGTTCCATAGATCTGACGAACCATGCGAGAGCTCGGAAACGTGTTCCAGCTGAGTCTGATGCCATCGCGATCCTCGACATCACTCCATTGGTCCTTCAACGCTTCGTAGTCCATGTTGGCGGCCTGGGGGGAACGGGATTCCGTAACTGGAAGATAACGAGTGGGAGGTCTAATCGGGCAGGAACAAGGCCAGAAATAACAAATTCAAACAACACAGACCGGTTTGCAGGAGGTCCCTCCTATATCACAACCCAGTCACAGAATGGGCAACGCCAGCAGCTGTTGTCCGGAGACTATGCGGGGATCAGGAGACTGTTGTGTGAAGCGGCACCTGTTGCCATAAGGCCAGGTTGCAGCATCACCGGTCGCTGCGGGCACCCGTACACCGCGCTAGTGCGCTTTAAATACCCGCTCCTCTTCCCTCCACAACAGTTTTTCTTCTTTTTCTTTCCAAATATTCTTCACAACGCCGACTCCTTTCCTTTTCTATGGCAGCTTCCATCCACCCAGTTGGTGATTTTGTCTAAAGTGTCGAGCGAAGAGTAAATTAGACCCGTTGCTGGGCACCTGGCTTTGAAAGGACGTTTTGTTACTTTTGGATAATCTGGGAATCAGCTGTGGTCATATGCCCTTCTATCACCGCTACTATAGTAAATTTACGTGTAAAAAGAGCAATTGATGTGCGCTCTGTATTATATGTTTCGGTGCATTCCATGCTCTTAATTTATACATAAAATATCTACCTATGAAATGGGATCAATAGCGTCTACCCATTTCCAAAAACAGCCTGACCCGGAACGCCCGCATGGTGGAATATCCGCAAACCGACAACCAAAATGCAAGAAAGGAACGTGGCTTCGTGGACCTATCACAGTGATGTTAGGCATTCTTTGGTGCCTTCCCCATTTGCTTCAGGAGATAGCTGCGCTTGAAGTAGGTATTGGGGTGCACGATGGTGTCGAGGTCAGTTTGGTTCCATGTACCGTCTTCCTTCACTCTCTTGATATCTGCTTTGTGGGTATGTTCGAAGACCCTGTTGCAAGCAATATGGAAACGCATCTTCTCAACATCCTCTCGCACTCCACGTAGGACGTCTCTGTCATTGACTCCTGTGGACTGAAGAAGACCGATCAAGTTATCGACAGAGAAGTGGCGGTACGGGCAGCCATGGGTCTGTCCGACTCCCGGATTCGAGTCACCCAAGATCTTCTGGCAGGAGTACGGAGGATATCCCCGGCCTCTGCGGTTCTGATCACCGCCCACATCGCCGTAAGCGTGGCGGATATTGTACTTGTACCGCGAGTTGAATTCGTCGTCAGTGAGCCCTTTGAAGCCTTGACGCCAGAAAACAATGCACTCTTCCAGCGACAGCCCAATTCCTTTGAGGAAGAGGGTATATTGCAGTCGTCCGTAGTGCTTCAGGTGGTTGTTCTTGCGTAGGTTCATGTGAAGACTGCGCATGCATAGTGGGAAATGCTGAGATAGTCGATCAATGTTGTTCGCTGTGATCGGGGCGCCATCAACAAATCCCTCGTTCTCCGTGTATACCGACTCGGCACTTCCAAAGTTCTTCGAGAGGTGATTCAAAATTGGAGTGAGGCGATCATCTTCATCCAAGCGCGGCAACGCCCGACTTGTGAGCTGGGAGATGTCAGTACCATAAAACAGTCCGTATCTACTGCTCTGACATACCTCAAGAGCGCGCTCCAATCGAGCCGTAAATTCTGCTATGATCATGCTCAGTTGCTCCCTACCGGGCACATATGCTTTCCCCTTGGATAGGAAAACAGCCCGTCTCTCTACCAACTCCGGGACTTTCTCCCAGTCCACCTTATACCAGGTCTCATCATCAATGCGACGTAGACCCGGGGAAGCGGCGAGTAATTGTTCCGCCAATCTCTGTTTTTCCTCATCATCCACAGGCTCCCAGTCCAGATTAAGGCTCTCGATGAAGGCGCGTCGTTCTCTGGTGTCGTCGCGTTGGAAGCGGAACCTGAAAAGCATAGTCTCTGCTCTCACGAAACGCCGACGGAGTTCCTCTGTGGCCGAGAATGCGAGGCGTAGAATAAAGTGAGAATAGTGATCTTTCTGGCGTTCATTCTTCAATCGTTGATCCGCAGCACCGTTAGAGGAGGATGTGTTGGAGGATAGAGGGAGATATTTCTGGAGGTGAGGAGTGATATGCGCTTCGGTCTCTGCCGGCGACTTGTTTCGATAAGAACAGGCTTCAATCTCAGCCAAGACTGTCGGACATTGTGAGTATATATGATACACTAAGATCGGAGATTAAGTAACCTTTCAATCGATCAATAGCCCATTGCTCAAATTGTTCGAGGGTGATCTCGTCGGTCGGGGGAACCTCATAGAAGTTTAAGCGATGCGGATAGTCCTGTTGCTTGAAGACCGGAGTCGCGAATTGTTTCTTTTTGTGGTCGAGGGTTGCCCTTCTCTTCGGGTCAATTCTGCGGAAGTCTTGTCGGATCATCTTGTTTTTTTTTCAACAGCGATTTGAACGCTATTGAGATGCTCAGCCGTTGCTTGATCCGCTGCAGTTCAGCAACACATGCTGGATGGCCTATCGCGCGACGGACGCGAAACGCGGCGGACAACGCGCCATGATCACGTGATACACAAATTAATGTAAAGCTCGATTAGGACATGTCAACACCGCAACGGTGACAGCAGGGATACCGGCCTTATTTACAGGGTAAAGAGATTCACGAGTATGTACTGAGTTGCGTCTCAAACATACCATATGAAGCACCCGTTAGTGTCATACTCGAATAGGGAGATATTGCTTGGCTTTGCAAGTAATGTCATCACAGGCTCACAATGAAGCCTTATGGTTGAAATAGCCAATTCCATTCTTCTCCCCTCTGCCTGCTGGGTATCTGGTATCTGTAGTCCTAGTACCCTACATACCGTAGTTGCTACGCCCAATGGACGGAATGAATATACCAAGAAAGCCGAGGTTCCCTGTAGAGATACTACCCTATACTCTACGCCCACAAACGGATCGTAAACTTAGCATGTGAGACAGCAAATGTTGTCTGCCCCTCTGCATGATACTTGTCTTCGCCCGAATTCGGAGTTAGCTCTCCAAAAGAAGCAGTCAATTGCATTGCCAAAAGCCGACATCCCATGCGTCGGGAAACGCTCCGATCTCCGCTCACCGATTTCCTGAACAGGGAACCATCTACAAACCCCACGGAAGCGCGTGCTTTCCCCGGCTTGAGATTTGTCGACGTATCAGCTGAGCACCGACCTTGCCCGATAAGCTGCGCGCACTATTATCTTCCTCTACCGGTCCTGCATTCCCTGTCTACACTTTGTTAACTGTTTCTCTATGCCGCAATGGAGATAATATAGTCTGCCGCCGTTCCTCCACTTTCCCTAGACTTATTGTTGAGGTACCTACCTTCGCCCTACCTTCAACATATTCGACGACCCGGCTGCACCAGAGCACCGGACTACCTTCAACCCCGAGAACCCTATATCAACAAATAGCATAATCGAGCAGCGCGCGAAATGACCGCCACAATCCGGCAGCTCAGAAAAGCAGCCCGGATTATTCTCATCGGTGCTCCTGGTGTCGGCAAGGGTACGCAAACTGAGCGGCTCCTCACCAGATACCCAGAGCTCGCCTCAATTAGCTCCGGCGACCTTCTTCGTGAAAATGTCCGGCGGAAGACACCTCTAGGTAAGTGATTCTGAGCTTTAAGACCTTGAGTTTGCAAAGTCCGTGGAAACCAGAATCTGTCTAACGATTTCCGCACCCAGGCCTTCAAGCAGAAGCCACAATGCAGTCCGGCAACCTTGTCCCCGACTCGATGATCCTCGATCTTATATCCTCTGAATTTAAATCCCGCGGCTGGCTTTCGTCAGCGCCGACTTCATCGATATCGCCCTCTGCATCTTTTATCCTGGACGGCTTCCCGCGCACCGCGACCCAGGCCTCAAGCCTAGAAACCATCGTCCCCGTGAATTTCGTCGTCCACCTCGTTACACCTCCTTCCGTCATTCTCTCTCGCATCGCGTCGCGCTGGGTACACGAACCGTCCGGGAGGGTTTACAATACCGATTTCAATGCGCCTAAAGTTCCTGGTAAGGACGATGTCACAGGAGAGCCTCTGACTCAGAGAGAAGATGACTCGATCGATACGTGGAAGCAGCGATTGCACAAATTTGAAGAGACGAGCAAGGCATTGCTAGAACATTATCAGCGCAAGGGCTGTTTGTGGCGTGTCGAGGGCGACACAAGCGACGAGATCAGCCCGAAGCTTTTCGCAGAAATTGAGCGGCAGTTCTGCTAGAATTCCTTCTGCTAGAGTTTTTACACCTGATGGTCTTCTATCCCTCGCCCCCGGTCCTATATACCTTCTTGTACTATATATCGGTTATATCCTGATCCTTGTGTTTGTTGGCGTCGCATTCCTGCAGTCCTAGAAGGGCAGCAGATGGGGACACTGCTTTTTTGTACCACTTCTTCACCCAGAGACAGCTGACATTTTTCGTGGACGAGTTAACCTAATGATCAGTCTAACGATGTTAATGAGTGCTGCAACGGTGGATGACCAGACTATTATCTATATCTTTCCGAATATACAACCAAAAGATTAGCTGCGCAATGCAGAGACATACATAACGACAAGGATATCTATCAGTATCAGCCGTATCATCATCAGAACTTATGCATCATGCAACCACCCCCCCAAAGCACACGAACGCCTCCGATTGCAAATTAAAAGCACAACACAATCACCAATATCAACAAAGAATAAGTAGAAGCCACCCTACTTCTTCCCCTCCCCCACATCTTCCATCCCCGTCCTAGTCTTAAACTCCCTCGGACTCTCCCACGCATCCCTATTCTTCTTGAACCCCTTCCACAGCCCCAACCCCCTCGCCTTCGCCCACCACTCCGCACTCCGATACTTCTTCTCCATCACCTCACCCCCAAACTCCGCCCCAACCTTCGCCTCATACACTGTTGCCAACCCCTTCCTCAGCATCTCATACCCGACATCGCGCCTGCGAAACGGAACCGGGAAATCCAGCGCCCGCCGCACAAACACCGTCGCCACCACACGCTGATACTGGTCCTGTCGATGCACATATATCCGCACGCGCCGGTTTATCAAGTACCCCGTTAGCCACTCGTGTGCTTCTTTGCCGAAGGGTTGCGCGGGGCGTCCGAAGTGCGCTTGTTCGGGGGCGTCGACACCAGCTATCCGGACATGGATCTATTTGATTTCATTCTGATGTTAGAAATATAGCCCCCGGTAGCATACACGTAGATTTAAAAAGAGGGAGAAGTATACATACAGTCTGATCTCTCAATTCCTTTCGCGTCGTGGGAACCTTCTTCCAGGGTACCCAGCCCCAACCCGCGAGTCTTCCGCCGGGTGTATGATAGATGCGAAAGTTGTCGCCGTCACCGACGCTGGTTACTTTTCCCAGGATGCTGCGGCGACGGTAATATGCGGGCGTGATGTTGACTGCTGTGGGGAACCGGCGGAGGTAGTTCCGGTGCAGGGTGAAGGCGCTGAGGATGCCAGTTGTGAGAACTAGAGTTGGGATGAGGGTGCGGAGTTCGGTGAAGGCGCTCCAGTCGAGTAGGTTCTTGGGGTCATTGTTGTTGGTGGTGGTAGGGTGGTCATTGTTGGAGGCTTGCGTGTTGGAAGCCCATGGCGGCCATCGCATGACGGCTCATGCTAGGACTTTCCGCTCCGTATCTTTCCTTTGGGGGTTGCGCGGTGATGGCGCCGCTTTGGAGGGGAGGGTGCGAGTGGGTGTGTAAGATTTCGGAAATTAGTTTGGGGAGAGTTTCTGGGTTCGATGTTTATTCGGGCCGTACGTAGATGAGCTGTTGCCGAGGTGAAAGTTTGGCGGTCAGTGAGCTCCATTTGCCCCGGAGGTCGGAGGAGTGGTCTGCATATGGTAGTTATCTACGATTTGAGAATCTCAATTATTGGTTTTACGAGAGTGCGCTGATACCCCTTATGTGATTTTGGGGTACAGCACAGTCAGTTAGTCCCTTGCCGCAGTGCGATGATCCTTTTGATGCTATTGTATGTTCTAGATATCATGCTGTTATTATCTATAGACAACTGCAGTAGTATCTTCGGTCATACCAAAAAACTGACAGGACAGGCGAAATCCCACAACCAGTGCGCCGCAGTGAGGATAAAAACAAATTCGTACAATAAAAATGGTAGTTACCGAGCCATAAATTAAAATCAATCAAACGTCTATTTGAGGGTCGCCGGAAGACTGGTCTTCGCTGTCGATGCAGCAGAGTCCGCCAGCTTCTTGAGCTTCTGCTCTCTAATCTTGCGCAGGTATGCGAAAAGAAGAACGAAGATGAGTTCAACCCTGGTCGCTGTTAGCATGTGATTGCGCCCCTTAATCAAGACCGAACATACCTCTCCTTAGTCATCATCAGAAGGCCTTGCACAAGGAGACCCTTCATGATCTGGGGCCCAATTCCCTTGAATAGGGACAGGAGACCCTCATTCTGCACAATATAGCGCATAACTTCGCCGAATGTCTTGAAAGGCTTTCCTTCGCGGCTTGGAGGTGGGCGGGACTGGAGGCCGACCTTGGCCACGATCAATGGCTGCGTCGCGATAGTAGCTAGCGCCTTGGAGAGAGCGCCGAGGACTGCAAAAGTCATTGGTTTGGCTCGTAAGATATGGACAGTAACAGGGTTACTTACGGAAAGCCTCCCAAGGCTTCAGACTGTTCTTGCCTGGAAAAATGATATCTTTGAGGCGCTGATAGGCGCCGTATGTGATTGCCGGGTTGACCACCAGGATCAAACTAGCTTTGAGTCCTCTCCATAGACCAGTCCAACCATCTTCGCTATCGACAATCTCCTTTCCAGTTTCAATCAAACCCTTCCTCTCGTCCTTGGCTTGTGTCTGCTGCCGTGTGGTGATTACGGCAACGGGAATAGTGAATATCTGGGCGACCGCGCCCGCCACGGCACCGAGGGAAAGCTCAATGGCAGTTCCAGGAGGTTTAGGGACCTTGTTAGATGCCATATAGAAGGCCCTCACAACGGTGTACCAGTAGAAGTAGGCGAAGTTGGTGGACGCCACACCGATGAGTGAGCCAACGATTCCGGAGTATAGACCTTCGACTCCTTCCTTTTCGACAATCTTGGTGATCGCATCTAATGTCGATTTATAGTGAACTGTTTCGGAGTTCTCGTCTTTCGCGTCGTTTGTCTTAACTTGTACTTGAAGCTTCGTCTTGACTCTGTGGATTGACGCATGGTTATTAGCATATCCTTTGTTTCCAGTTCTAAAGCGACACAGGCACTTGCATACAGATCGAGAGGGTAGACCAAAGCGTTCGCTAGAACTGCACCTGTAGCACCTGCAACGGCACTTCCCCAAGGGGAAAGTGCGGGCTTCGACTGGCCTGCCATTCTTGTAACGAAATGGTATATTTGGTGGATTGAATGGATGAGGTATTTGGCGTAACGAGAAATGCGAGAAGAATATCGACCAGCGTCCCAAACCGTTTATGATACACTTTGACCGAAATTCCAGTATCGGACTTATTACCTGAGAATAATATGGCGGTGCGGAATAATAATTGGCGATATTTCGGAGCGGGGACTCCCAGGAGAGTCTAGCAGCTCAGTGTGTGTGGAATGATCGGAGGGTGACAGGCTGTCTAGACTGTGTGAGGGGACTCTGGCGACCGCAGTGTTCACAGTTTGAAGCGATCACAGACAAAGCGTTGTCGAGTGCCTGGTCAGTGACAGACAAAACCAGAAGCCCGGCAAGCAGCACTATGAGAGCAGGGATACTCCGAACAAGCAAGACAGGCAGATGAACCTCGGCGCAGTGATGGCGCGCATGACGAAACGAGCCTCGGTCCGATGGCCGGCCTGTTGATCGTTATCACTTTGGGTCACCCACAGTTTCCTGCCCACTGCCGACTCTCCCCACCGACACGCGACGCTATCAACTCCATACTATTCTAGTACCATCATTCATCGGTACGCCCGCCACCATTCACGTTGTGCCTGTTCACTGTTGCATTCACGCTGGATCTTCGTGACTAAGCATATAAAGTTCCTTATCTTTGGGTTGGCTGGTAGTGCACGTTCCTCTCGTCTATTGCTTGGGTCTGGCGCAATCCTTAACGTTGTGGACCTCGGATGTCATCATCGGAGATACTACGGTCCCCTTCGGCATGATCATCAAGTAGTGTGGTACTGCATCACATCTGATAGGTGCTAGCCGAATCTGTAGTACTTGCAGAGAGGCTGGCTCAGCAGAATGTCTAGACCGAACGCTGCGTCTAAAAAGTTCTTAGTGAACCAAGCCTTGGTATTTATTTCACTCTTTCCTACTTACCACTCGATGTCGATCACCATAATAAAGGTTCTTCGGACTAACCGGTAGCCAGAAAGCCGAACGAGATGCATCTAGTGCTCTTACTCAAGGCCAGGCCCTTGAGTCTGCCATTGACGCCGCTGAAAACTACATGAAGGCGCTGAGTCTGACTACCGAGTCAAAGGACAGACAGGCTCTCGATGCTAAATGTAAAGAATGGCTCACTCGAGCAGAAAGGATCAAACAGGACAAGGACTGGCAGGCGGTTCTCCAAATTCATGAGAAAAGCGGTCTCACGGCGCGTTTCCCCAAATCCACACGTAAACTTACCACCCGTGAAGAGATCATTCTGCTCGAGAGCGCAAAGCTGAACGGCTTTATCTTTCCTCCATGGAAAAATGCGCCGGGCCCCGAGGATTTTGAGAAGGGCGATGAAGGCCTTTTTACGTAAGTGTACTCAAGTCCCTGATGTTGGAAGCTTCGTCAAATGTTGATGTCCAATTGCTGACTGGATCCAGTGACAAGCCAGACCTTCATCTGTCTAAACTGCAAAGGCGCATTCTGGCAGGCTGGGAGCGTCCCTTTGATTTGTTGTCCAAACATGCAAATGGTATCGATGGCCTGAAGTCAACAATGCCTGTAATGTCGGTCTCGGGCCCTACAGATCTTGTACAAGATATGTTGACCGACTGCTCCGTCGTTGCCAGTCTTTGTGCTGCTACATCAAGGTCAGAGCGTGGTCTAGATAAGGTATGAGAAATATCAACGTGACATTTTTGCAAGAAACAAGTCTCTAACAATTGCAGCACCATCTTCCCATAGTCTTCCCCTGCGAATATGGGCAGGTAAATCCAAGAATTTCTCCTTCTGGGAAATACATTTTTCGCTTTTATTTCAATGGATGTTTCAGGAAAGTTGTCATTGATGATCGCTTGCCTGCGTCCAAAACATCAAGATCACTTCATGTTGTCGATCGGAACCACCCTAACTTCCTATGGCCGGCCTTTGTAGAAAAGGCATATCTGAAGCTTCGCGGGGGTTATGATTTTCCTGGGAGCAATTCTGGTACAGATCTGTGGGTCTTGACAGGTTGGATTCCCGAGCAGGTTTTCCTTCATCAGGATGATGTGACTGCAGAGCAACTCTGGAGACGGCTATTCAAGCGCTTCCGGAATGGCGATGTCCTATTGACGATAGGTACGGGCAAATTAACCGAGAGGGAGCAAAAAGAACTAGGCTTTGCGAGCGAACACGACTACGCTATTTTGGATATGAGAGAACAGAGAGACCGTCGCCAAATGCTTGTAAAGAACCCATGGGCAGGCGATGATGCGATCACCGGAGATATTGCAGACAGTTTCGCACTTGGACACACATCTCACACCCCTGCGTCCTCTTTACCTAGAACATATTGGATGGATTGCGAGAGTGTCCTTCAGAATTTCGAGAATCTGTATCTGAACTGGAACCCGGGAATCTTTCGCTATCGGGAAGATATCCACTTCGCATGGGACCTTTCGACTGCCAGAGGGGTGGCTGGCTGTTTCGCGAAAAATCCTCAGTTTGCCGTCACCTCTGAGGTTGGCGGCAAAGTTTGGCTACTACTTGGGAAGCACTTCAGGTCGATTCATCATGACGAACAAACTCAGGTGCCCCAAGACGATCTGGAACCAGGATTTATTAGTATCTACGTGTTCAACGCAAACGGGAAACGAGTGGCATTGAGTGAAGGCGCTCTTCATCGTGGACCATACGTTGACTCGCCAAATACTCTCATGAGACTTGAAATGCCCCCAGGCACGACCTACACTGTCGTGGTGTCCGAGCAGTCATTGCCCGCTGTCAGCCAGAACTTCACATTGTCAGCTCTGTCCGACAACCCTTTACTCTTGGCGCCTGCTCAGAACCGATACGCTTGCCTGACAAAAACTCAGGGATTGTGGATGCCTTCCACGGCAGGAGGAAACGCCGAATCTGCCCGTTACCCTTTCAATCCCCAGTTCCGACTAGAGGTTCATGACGATACAGATATCTCCATCCTGCTGGAACCATCGGAGCCGGAGCTCGCTACGCATGTCAAGTTATTCTGGTCCAATGGAGAGCGTGTGACTAGGGTTCGGAATCGCGATATAATCACCGATAGCGGTGACTACCGGCGTGGCGGGTCTCTTGCGGAAAAAAAGAGACTTGGCGAAGGGGTGTACACTCTCGTCTGTTCAACCTTCGCCCCGGACCAGCTTGGACGATTCACACTCTGGATTTCGTCAGCATTACCGTGCGTCGTTAAACCGCTTGCACCGGAGGCAGCTGGGCGACGGGCGGTCATATCAGATATTGGAATCCTGACTCCTGGAAAAGATCGGATGCTGGCTTCCTTGGAGACCAAGCGCTTGACCCGCATTAAACTGATAGGACGGAGCAGACTGTCTACGATCGGGAATCGCGCCGTTGGCCCGTCCCCGATGTTGATGACAGTAGAGCTGGGTCAAGGGCCGTACAAAGAGATACTGGCTACCTCTGAGGATGGAAACCACAGTGATGCGATATCTGGAGTACGAATTGAGGATTTCGATCTGCATCCGGGTCTCGCAGATCAGGGTGGGGCCTGGATAGTCATTGAGAGAATCGGGGGACCTGGGGGACAAGTTGAGGACCACTTTGAAGTTGAAGCTTTGGCCGAGGAGCGGGTGGATATCGGCGAATGGATTGTTGAGGATGCATGATGGATGGTTTTCTATTGCTTGTGGCGGAGGGTGCTTTGTGGGACTGGCATGGGTTAACCGGCGTGGGAAACGGCGTGAAAATATGTGATATCCATCATTTAGAAACTAGCTACAATTTTCGGTCAGATATGAATATTACTTATTATGTAATAAAGGTGATTGAATTGATTCTAAAGAGAGAATCTTATTTCGAAGGGTGATAGAGAATGTAGTATTTTGTACAACAATGGATCGACCATCCCGATAAAGCCCAAGTCAGGAACGCTAGGCCGACCCGAGGCCAGCTTGGCGCAGTTCCACCTCCAACGTCATCCCCGCCCTGCATCGTGCATCTTTCTCCTGCATCCTAACCGTTGCAGCTCTGACCTCCTGGACGTCCGCGTCCCACCCAACCCTATGGCGAGCAATATCCCCGCTAGCTTGAGATCCGCCGACATTGGGCGATACGCGTTGCGGGCAGCTCAGCTCGAACGCGCGAAGCCCGTTGTTGCCTACTGGTGTAAGTGCTGTTGATTGCGCATGCTGCTGCTCAAACAGAAGCCATATGAACTGACTAACGGTTGCTTCTCAATTACAGGTAATTTCTGGATTGTTAATCAGATCATCGGACGGGGACTACACACTTCTGACGACGATGTCAAGCAATACACAACGGACCTGGTGGACAAGTTGGAGCAGGTACGTCGGGCGCACGACACCCCCGCTACGATGGCGCGCACTCCCTGGAGACTTACACCTCTTCTCTCTGAGTTCAGTTCAAGAGTGAGAATGTCGATAATGATGCGGTAACCGATGCGGTGGCAGCCAATGCCTACGTGGAGCAGTTCGGATTGGAGGTCCTTGGCCGTGCGGAGGCGACTATGAAGGCCAATAAAGTGACCAAGTGGGTTGTTTTCGTGGGAGACTATCCGCACCACCGCTGACCCGTAATTAGACAGACGGCCGACACATTCCAAGCCGCTGCTACGTTTCTCGAATTGTGTCAGATTTGGACCAACCCTCCGGAACCTGAGATCGCCGCGAAGATCAAGTTCTGCAAGTACCATGCCGTGAGGATCATAAAGGCTATCAAGGCGGGAGAGGATCCTAATGCGTCCAACCCGGCACCTACTGAAGAAGATGAACTCGAAAGTGAACTTAGGGGTATGGAGGCAAAGCAGGACGATCCCGAAGTGCAGGCCATCGTGGGATCGTCAGCCGCACCACCTGGGCAGCCTTCTGTTGAAGAGGTCCCTGATAAGTCTACACAACCCTCACAATCACCCCTTAGTCTCCCGCAACCGCCGACCACGTTTGCCGATGCTCCAGCTGCTCACTACGGTGCAGACCCCATGTCTACTTCGAACATGGAGGACGATGCGGAGCCAGGCGCACCGCTGAACCTTCCCTCGGCTCCAGAGACTTTCACTTCACCTGCTCCTTCCGTGCCCAACCTCCCAGATACGCCCGCGGATATTGGTGCAAAGCCTCCGCAAGCTCGTGCCGACTCGTTCCACTCTTTCCCTCCCCCGTCATCCATCCCGCCTTCGAGCCCGTCGGCAGCATCTCACGATGCAAGCTCGTTCTACACCAGACCGACAAGCGGTGTCGCTCCGCCTCCACCGTTTGTACAGTCTTCCTCTGCGACAGCACCTGTAGTTTCTCGCCCTACTCCTCAGAGTATCCCGTCATCCACACCACCTCCACCTGCACCTGCCGCTTCTAGTTCCAG